ATCAAAAATACGCTTGGCACAGACGTCTTCAATGGATTCTCCATCAAAAGCCCAAATTTCTAACAGAACATTCAATAGAATTTTCAGTTTTTCCAGTAACATTATATAAATAAAATTAAGGTTATTAAATATATTAAACACATACATTTCAAATTCTGAATTACCTCTATCGGAATGCATAGGAAAAGAGAAGAATAACAATATACCCATGAGGAAAGCATGATGAAGTTGACTTCATGCATGAGTATATAATTTGAAGTTACTTATTGGTTTGGGAAGGTTACCAACCAAACCAATGAAAGAACTACATGACTTTAAAGTTAATACTTTAATTTCATTTTTTAAAATTTTCTTTCTCAAATAATTTAATATATTGGATAATAACAAATAACACCCCAAAAGTTTGCCAACTAACCACATTGGTACATGTATGGGTTTAATTTCTGTCTTTCTAGTCTAGAAGAAATAAATTCTTATTAGTCAAAGCCTTCTTTTCTGAAAATAAAAAATCCAGCATCCTATTTTTGAACCACACAACTTCTTCCATAATTTAGCTTTAATATTTAATTTGCAAAATAATTATTTACCAAGTTCATATATTTTAAATATGTTTATTTATTTAAATAACTAATTGTATAACAGTCTAATATAGACGGAAGATTCAGTAACTTTGATTCAAATTTTATATTTATCATAAGAAATTTATTTAGTACGTATGAATTATTAATTCAGAACTCAATAACTTAAAATAATAGAATCTCATATTTATAAACTTCAAATTCAGACTTTACCTCAGTCATTTAAACATTCACAAACTAATTATTTAGATAGTATAATTTCTTTTGGGGCGAATTTATATGTAACAATGCACAACATGTTATAGGGTAATAATAATGTAGGAATTGATTACTCTAGTGACTTTTTTTTCTTTAGTTATTTTAATTTACAAAAATTTTATTTACTTATTATATTTCGTATTCTTATTTAACTTTCTCTTTTTCACATAAATTAATACACATACTCTTACATAACTAGTGTCATGAGTATTGACGATGTAGAGTTTAATAAAACAAATTATTATAATGCATGACTAATTACTTAAAAGACTTGGTTTTGTTTTTCTTCTTCTATTCTGGTGATATTTAGGTCAACTTGCTATTTGCTTCAATAATACATTAGTTGGTATCATGTATTTCTGATTAGTACAAGTATCATTTTATTTAAGACTTATATGTATGATGTATCGTTTAATTTCTTTTGCTTCTCTATGTGATTTAAACCTAGCCTCTCATAATCCATTACAACTTCATTCATCGACGGCTAAAATATATTTCTAAATTAAATCACACTAAAAATAATATATGTTTTTTATTACTTTTTAATTTTTTTATGACAAATTTAATACTTAATTAATCTTCCTTCAATCAGTTAGTACGCCAAATTAATGTAAAATAATTGTATAGAAACTAGAATTTCTCCGCTATATATATGTATATATGTAGCATATACATTGTTTCTCAATAATTAATCAACTTGCTAAAAAAGTAATCATACTTTTATTAGGATATTATTGCCCTAATTATTTTACAAATAAAAAGATTATATTATCCAAAGAGGATAGTGCACTTTTTAAAAAAAGTAGACTTGAAATGGAAGAGTTTCAACGTGTTTTTAATTAACATATGTGTTGTCAACTACGTAAAATACTATATGAAGTCCTTGCATATATCACTGAATAAAAACAGAATTAGTGACGAATAATTTCTATCTCTAAATAACAAAAATTCATCGGTAATTATATTTAATAATGATTTAACAATGAATTATTAAAAAAATTGTTAGCTACGGTTTACGTGTCTTAGTGACAAATTTAATACTTTCTCTGTTTCAATTTGCTTGTTTGATTTTGATTTAATACCAATTAGAGTTTACGAAAGTAAAAAAAAAAACGTTAACGTTGTATAAGTCTGAAACTAAAGATATGTAGATTAATGCACCAAATTATCTTTAATATCATGATCTTAAATATGTCATATAAAAAGTTGAAAGTAATTTATTTTTAAAAAAAGATAAAAATAAGATAAATAAATTGAAATAGAGTGAATAATATATTTGTAAAATTGTTTTTGCAAATTGTTGTTCAATTTTAAAAATCTACACTTCTTAGTCAAGACAATCGGCTTGCTTATCTTTCAAGATTGTGATATTTGGATTCTGTCTTATCTTAAAAAATATAAATATATATCTGATATATCAAATCAGTTTAACTTTATTGAAATAAAAATATAATAACCCAAAATACTAATTTACTTGTATATGCTTCATATTTTACTTTATCTTTTTTTTTTTCCTGATATTTGATATTTATATTGGCAGGAGTAAAGCTAGGCTTTTGATTATGAGTTCGAACGAGTGCATGTAGAGTACTGTAGTAACTTTAATTAAACTTTATATAATTTTTTAAAAAAGTTATTAAATGTATATATATAAATTATTAATTTAGAACCTAATAACTTAAAATAACTAAAATGTCGAATCATAATTCAAATTATATTGTGACTTCACTTATATGTATTGAGAATTCGACTAATTCAAATTCATTTTATATAAAGGCTATTTAAAATAAAAAACGTAATAGATTTTTTATATCAGCATCTTGAACCAAAAACCTTAACCAAATGTGGTTGACATATAACATTTTAAACTTTATGTTAAAGAATGTACACATAACAAGGGAAATAAAATTTGCATGCATTATTTCAACTGAAAAAAAGAAGAAAAGAAATGCAAATGACATGCATCATCGTGTGATTTCCATTCCAAATCTTTTTGAATATATTTGCATGTTTTTTTTAATCGCGTGTACTAATATCATGAATCCATTAATACACCGTTCATTTTTATTTATTACGTATCATTTTTCTGAAGTTAATTCAATTAACCAACTACACATAACATGTGAAAAGAATATGCTTGTGCTTAGTCTGGAATATAATCTTGACATTGAAAGATCCTACTTACTTTTACGGGTAGAGTGAAAGAAGGGGGATTTTGAAACGTACCACTGAAAAGGATCTAATGAATTCAAAAGAACTAAACGTGGAATCATAAGAGGTGAAAATATCATGTATGATTTTATAGAGTGACAATAAAGGTCTCTAGGTTGGGGGTAGGTCTTGCGGAGAAATTATAAACACCTTAATTTTCATAATTCAATATGTTATAATTATAATTTAAATGTATAAAACTAATAAAAAAATAATATTAGAATAAGTAGTAGTTCTTCTCATATTAATATGATGAAAAAAGGAATCACCTTAAAACGTTGGTCAAAGTCAATTAATCTAGCTCTCGAAAACGAAACATGACAAATAAAAGCGAACAAATCCAAAGAAAGTATAAAGTTAATATTTCAAAAATCCTTATTACAAAATAGGTTTTGAAATTTATTTATTTTTTTAAAAAAGAAACTTTTCATATAATTTATTTCAGTCAAGGTATTACCTGTGACTAATCACTACATTAATGAAACTATTATTAGAGGATGAGTTGCATTAATCATACATTTTGTAACTGAAAAAATGGAGATTATTTCAACTTCATTACTCATCATTTCAATAATTAAATCAGTTTTTAGTGTCAAATTATCTATTTCATGCTAAAATTATGATAATGAATAAATTGTAAAACAAACATCAATATAAAAAAGATAATTATTTTATTATTTTTTAAAATTAATATGTGACTCCAAACCTTGACTTATAAACATAGGAAAATAAAATTTGCGTGCATTGTCTCAACCAAAAAAATAAATGAAAATGACATGCATTCTCATGTGATTTCATTCCAAATCTTTTTTTTTTTTCATATTTGTTGATTCGTCTTTTGATTTCACTCATTATAAAATTAGATATTTTAAAACTCTTTATTTACGAAATAGACTCAAAATTTATTTATTTATAAAAAAACTTTTCATATAATTCAACTCAATCAAGGTAGTAGAGCACACGATTTGTAATTACTACATTAATGAATTATTAGGGATGAAGTTACATTAATTATAAGTATTGACACGAAAAAAAACGGAAATTAGTTCAACTTCGTTATTTAATAAACTCATCATTCATTAATTAGTCTTATACTAAACAAATTAACTTAGTGCAGTGATAACGTATATACTACTCTATTATTAATTAAAATTGACTTATAATAATAAGTACTATTTGATAAAAAATTTAAACTTCATAATATAGGGTAGATCTAAAGGATAGTCAAGAATTCATGTAAATTTATTAGTTTTTACTCAAATTATTTATATTTATATAAATAAAAAGTATCACTAAACATACATAAATACTTAATTATAAAATTCAATGTTTATATAGTGTTAAGTTTGATATCATATAATAAATTCTGAATTTAATGACATTACAGACTAAAAATAAAGTAAAATAAAACTTGTTACAAGCATTAATATGAAGTTAGACTAATCATATCGAAAAAAAAACAATATTGTTCATATAATTTAAGTCTCTATTTTACTATGAATATTTTTTTTCTTGAAATATTATTATGAGAAACTATTTAAATATAAAATTGTTAGTATAGTTTTTGAGTTCAATTTCTTTTCGAAATTTGATTTTTAAAAATAATTTTCACTCTACATTATTCATAATTTTTTTTTAAAATTTTAAATTTTTATGTTTAAACGTAACTAAAGTGAGTAATTTTTTTCTTTGGATTTCCCTATCTCTCGGAAAGCTTAGGTATTTCAAATTTCAAATTTATAAAAAAATTATGATTGACATGAAAGACAAACAAAGGGAAGGAAGACACGTTTTGAATGGCTCGAAACCTGAAAAGATACTGTTCATTATTTTATTAATTAATTTATTTTAATATAATTTAATTCAAAAACTTGACCTTTTTGTTTCAAATTAAATTCTTGATCTGTATAAATGAGACTATAAATATGGTTTATATACTGTATTATTATTATTACTCCATTTCTCATTTTGATTCTTTGAAATTTTTGAGTGCTTAAACAAACAAAGACACTCAATCTCTTGCTTCATTCTAAAAGAGAGATCTTTTTTAAGATTTAGAAAAAAAAATAGAGCTTTCTTAGCTTGTAGATATCCGATCCCCTTCTTGTAAGTCTCTTTTTCTCAGTATATTCCCTTAAATTCTCTATTTTTTCATCATGTTTGTTGTGTTATAGCTTTGTATTCATATTAAAGATCACTTTTTGGCATCTGGGTATTTTTTCTTGTTTTAATGTTTGTGTGTTTATAGCTTGAAATTTGTTCAAAAAGTGAACTTTCTGTCATTTGGGGTTGTCAAGTTTCAATCTTTTTTGATACCCTTTTTGTTATTTGCATGGTACTTCTGTTTTTGCTTGAAATTTGTTGTAATGATCAGTTTTTGGTATCTGGGGTTCTTAAGTTTCAATCTTTTTTGATACCCTTTGTTGTTATTTGCATGGTACTTCTGTTTTTGCTTGAAATTTGTTTTAAAGGTCAGTTTTTGGTATCTGGGGTTCTTAAGTTTCAATCTTTTTTGATACCCTTTGTTGTTATTTGCATGGTTCTTTCTGTTTTTGCTTGGTTTTGATACTTCTCTTGGATTTTGTTGGTTGTTTTTTTGTTTTTCTTAGGAAGGTTCTTGATGCAAGCTCTTGTTTTGTCCTTGATTCAAATTTGTCATGTTTTTTTTTCTTTTGAATTAAAGTTGTATGTCCTTTATTTCAAACCTTATGCTTTTTTTTAGGTGTAGTTTTGTAGTTGGAAATTTTACCAATTGAGTTTTATGCCTTTATGACTTTATTACTCTCTTACTTTTGTATGATTGGCTGGTGTTTAGATATTTCAGATTGAAACAACTTTTATGGTCTAAGGCAACTTGTGTGCTGTTATTTTCTGTTTTCAGGCAATTCTAGTGGAAAGCTGATTGTTTAAGGCATCACTGTCTCTGTTACATCAAAAAATAATTAAAAAGTGGTTTTTAGCTGATATTGGTTACATAAGAATGGGAGATCATTTTGTGTTTCTGGTTGATCGGTTGCTAACTGAATCAACTTTGGAGGCTGCAATTGAAAGCAGAAACCCGAAACAGCTAGCATCACCGACAACGAATAGCTCGGTAACTGATTGCTCTTCCCAGGATTCTGATCCTCTGAGTCCTAGGAAGATGGTTGAATGCAGGATATGCCAAGATGAAGATATGGATTCAAATATGGAAGTTCCTTGCTCTTGCTGCGGTAGCTTGAAGGTTTGTTGAGCTTTGTTACAAACTTACTAGTACTTTCTTTCTTTTCATGTATATGCTATCTGTATTGGACTGAGATGTGCTTAAACGAACGACATGGACAGTGGGGATTCATATAGTTGAAGCCAATTTGCTAGAAATTGAGGCGTAATTGTTGTTTTATGCTATCTATCAGTGTTCTAATTTTTCTGTTATTGGAGCTTGTTTATGTCGTTAGAAGTTTATTATATGCTTAAAAGTCAATATATGAGTTGTGCACTAGTGCCTATTGAGTATTCTCTGTTGCTTTTTTGTCTTCCTACTACTCAAAAATTGGTGTGCGATTGGGTTGCTTGTTTCCACGAGCACATGTTGTTTCCAGTGAGGAACTGGTTCTGTCTAATGATGAGCCTGAATAAGAAAAGAATTTATTAATATTGAGACAATTCGATTTTGAAATTGTGTTACTGCAACTGTTTGTTCCTTCTGATCATTGACCTTTTGTCATGTTATTAACTTAAACTTGCAAGTTCAGTCTCAATTGTGTGATTGTTTTCTGGTGACAGATTATTCCTTCTACATACTAGCTAAGCACTAGAATGTTTACATCATGCTCAAGATCCTGAGAGCTTCCTATAGGTCCTCGTCGTAAAATTGTACTTCGTGTACATGGATGATGTTGAACATTCTTTACCAACATCTCTCTTTCTTTTCTTGGGCTGGACCATGGTGAGTTGGGGAAGAAGCTGTGCAGTTTCAGGGCTCCTATAATGTGGAGCAAGTAAAAAAAAAGGAAGGAGCTTTAGAGTACTGACCCTGCTATGAACTTTCAAGTAGTTAGACACATAGTTGCTTAATTAGAGATGATTGGTGATGTTGTTGCGTTTTTGGCTTTCGTTGGCTAGAGATATTCCTGTCTGTTTATTCAGTTATCTTCTTATTTTTACCAAATTGTCCCACCTTCTGCTGCAATTAGTCCTGGTACAAAGTATTTAAATCATTTGTGAAACTTCTTAAACTTGACCACCTGTCTTGCCAGAATATGCTTTTGAATGGAAGAAAAATTGGGGGAAGGTTATAAAGAGACCTTTTCTCAGGGAGTTTCACTAAGTACTTTTTCAAAGTTCTCTATTAATGTCTGATTCTTCTGTGATGCTCACATAATACTCGTTGGCATGCCTTTTTAACTTCGAACTCAAGACTCTTCTACCTAGTTTCCACTCTCCACGTGTCCCGAATTCTTTATTCTAACATTTTCATTTCTTTAACGCATAATGTGTTCTGCAACTACTTCATGGTTGTGCTTGGTTTTCTTTCAGTATGCACATCGGAGATGTGTCCAGAGGTGGTGTAACGAGAAGGGTGATACCATTTGTGAGATATGCCACCAGGTGGGTGACTTTTCTAAGTTTTGCTTTATGTAACTTACAGGCTAGAAGCGCATTTGTACCATAGCAACCTTTTCTCCGTGTGCTTAATTCTTCAGTTACTGTTGACATTTGTATCCTTATGTTATTTGTGTTGATTACAGCCTTTTAGGCCTGGTTATACGGCACCTCCCCCTATTTTTCGACTTGGAGGCATCCCAATGAATTTTAGGTATCCTTCGTCTTGCTTGTTGCTATTATTAGGAAATTGAATATTCTTCTCCATATCCCATATAGCTTTTTTTTTACCTTGTGTTGTGGTGCTTTACTCAGGGGAAACTGGGGAATTGTTAGAAGAGACTTGAATAACCCTCGTCTGATAGCTGTCGTTTCAACTGATCGTAATTTCATCAACTCTGATGACTATGATGATGACTATGCGGTCTCTACATCAAGAAGCATGATGTGTTGTCGTTCAGTTGCAATGATTGTAATTTCTCTCTCTCTCTCTCTCTCTCACACACACACACACACACACAACCGCACGCGCTAGTGCATTTTAGTTAAAACTTTGAAAAGAAAGCATGAAATTCTTCAATAACTAGCTTTTGTGCCAGGAAACTGCTAACCATCAGTTCGATATGCAAATGTGATTTGCCACTGCAGGATATCCCATTTAGACAATTTCTAAATCTAAGTGCAGCAATTTGATTCTTTCTTTTTGTTTCCTTTTTTAACAGTTTATGCTGCTTCTGGTTTTACGACACACTCTTCCCATCATAGTGAATCAAGCAGAGGACTATTCATTCCCTTTGGTCATGGTAACGTACTAAACTAGAAAAAAATGGGAATCACATTGTTGTGTTTTTTTAGATTATGTTCTTACTCATTACCCTTTGCACACAGCTACTACTGCTGAGGATTACTGGCATTGTCCTGCCTATCTACATCATAATGAAAGCAGTGACCTCTTGCCACCGTCGCCAACACCAGCAGGTGAGTTGAGCTACCATCTACTCCTCTTACGTTCCTCCCCGATACCACCCCATGTCTGAGTTCAACTAATTTTTTTTCATCCTTCACAAACAGGCTATTTTACCTATCTCCTCGTCTGATGAAGAATCTGGCCCCGTGATACTCTCACATCAACCTCCCCCCATCATCGCCCCTTGAAAGTACTAGATATATGTTAGTTCATGTTTACTCTACTGTTGCTACTGCGTCCTGCTGCGTAAAATTTGCTGCAGAGAGGATGGATGACTGCGAAAAGGCTACACATTCGTGTAATGCAGTTGGTGTTTCAGATTATGTAGATTGAAGAAATATCAAAAAAAGGAAAAACAAAGTCAACAAGGCTATAAAAAGGAAAAAGATATCAAGGTTATGGATTAGTTAGAAATCTTTGTACAGTCAGTTAAAGTTCAACCATGTATATGAACACATGGATGGGAATACAAAATGTGTCAAGTTAGTTAAAACTTTATAATATATGATATCCAGTCTTTTTTCCTTGCACAATTCTATAGTGGTTGGTGATTTATGGTTGAAAATATTTCAGTCCAACTATAACTTACATGCTACATTAATTATGTGGGAAGGAAAAGACAATGTGATGCCTTTGAAGAAATCACATGATTTTAACTCAATGAAGGCAAAAACACGAGGTGATTTCTTTTTGTTTGTTCAAACCTTGATCGACTAAGTTACTCTGTATTTGTGCTAGTGAGTGATAATCAAATAGTAGATACCACTACGTAAATTGATTCAGACATCACGATTATATATATATATATATATATATATATATAGTTTGAGTGCTCAAAGAGGGCAAAGTTCCTATTCCACTAAATTCATGAGCTTTAAACTTTGACTTGCTCAAAGTGCTCTTCTACTTTGTCTAAAAAGCAACCTACCCAATTCACCAATAAATAAATAAATAGATAAAAGAAATGATTTTTTTTTAAAAAAGAGATTAATTAGGGTTAAGATGGATTAACTAGGGTTTTATTGATAAATGAAAAAATAAAAAAATTATGTGCCATAATTCCTCATAAATCGATTTGCATTTTGAAATAGCTCATAATATATGATTTTGAACCTATTGAATAACTCACTTCCTATTTATTAGATCGACTTGCTATAACAAATTCTAGCTAATTGTAGAACTCACTTTTAGCTATACGAAACTCTTTTTAATTTGGAGACGTCTTCTTTGAATTAAATAAGCAATAATTGAACTCAATCAACTAGATTGTTTCTGAAATTTTGTATAAGGTCAATGAATCTATATTTGACCTCTAAAGGATCATTAAATTCGAAATGTATATTCAATACCTAATGGGACCTCTAGTATATGACAAAAAAAGAACATAGTGGAACTAAAATCCATCATCATCAAAAGGGAAACATTCGTTATCACAAGTCTTGTCGTTTCGTGTTCGATATTCGTATTGAGTTTCAAATTTATTTAGATTTGTATCACGTAAGATCCAGATCCATCTAAGAGGGAATTCGTGCTTCTTATTAAGATTTCTTTAAATATTTCGCGAAATATTATCATTTAACATGTATTCAATCCTTTAAAATATTTGCACTTCTACCATTTTAGAACAACGTCATCGTAAATTTTTTGCATGTCTACACACGTATGGCTGAAACTTAAAAAACATTTCGTCTAAAATTAGACTTTGTCAAATACTACATATGTAAAGTTGTTTGGAAGTTGTTAGACGTGTTAACTTTTACACACTATGAATATAACTTTGGTTATATATATGCAAAGCTCGAATAAAAAATTTTGATAAAAGAGGGAAGGAATTCTATATATTTGACCATAGATTTTAATTATAAAAATAAATGGCGTTTCAATAAAAAGAGGGATGTGAGTCATGTGACACGAGGACTTGTCACTCCCTATATATTATGAAGTTGCGTGTCTTCTTTTAAGTTGGGATATTATCTTTATGATGACAATTGATATAACACAAATTGCAGCCAACCAAACCAAAAAAATAATAAAAATGCAGCTAAATTTCTTCAATAATTGAATTATTTAGATTACTTTGACACTTGGCAAAATAGAACATACATATTTTGTGACAAATTATAGATAAATTAGGAACTTTCCTCCATCATGTTTTCTTCATGTGGGATCAATTTTCTGGGGGAAAATAAATAGGATAAAATGTGTTCATTTGGTTGATGTGATGCATCAAGATAAGATATAGGGTGTTTGTAGGAAAGAAAAATGTTTTTTTTTTTTTAAAAAAAAGTAATTTTCTTATTTATTTTTTGGTGTTCAGTATGTAACTAAAAAGTAATTACTGTATTTAGCCTAGGTAAATATTACGAGTAGGGGTAGAGTTAGGGAGTGCAAAAGGGTTCGTCCGAACCTACTAACATTGTATAACACATGGTCAATTAGTTTCATGAACATATATATATATATTATATAGTAGATGTTGCAGTTTTTGCCTTTTTGTTAGTTTACTTATTTATATATTTAACCGTCTTAATGAAAATCTTAATTCTACCGCTGATTAGGGTATGACCGTATGAGGGTGGTCGTGATGGGATGGCATGTGGTGAGGGTAGGAAGCAGATAATTAGTATCTTATGAAAACTTGTTTTCCTTATTACTATTAGAAAAAATTGTCGATCTCTTTATAATTGAAGATTGGAATAAGTCGATGTCGGTCGATTCAATGATGTGAAAACACATGAAAAAAATGGATGAAACATACCTTAGACTTATATCAACATGAAAAATAGCTCATGAAGTGATGTGAGAATTATTTAAGGCCATATACATAGATGACAACTTATTCATTAAAAATGTGGTGTATCATCAACCGTTGTAACAAAAGATTGATAGGTGCAATGAACACAATAACTTAAAATTTTAGATTCACCTCATATAAGTCAATTCGAGAATTCTTCAAGAATAGTCTTTTTTAGATAAAATCTGTGTACACTCTATTTTACCATGAAATTTCATCGAGTATGTTGTTGTACCTCTCATAAAAGTCAACCAAAAAGTGAATTAATAGGACAATTAGCTGCTCAGCTAGTAAGAAAATCCTAATGAATTCAATCCATAATGCAATGTTTTAAGCTATAGTACTAGAAAAGCTGTAAGATGACTTGGTTAATTGGTTTTTATTATCAGCCTAAGCTTATGTGATAGAGTTATCCGGTACCTTATGTGATAGAGTTATCCGGTACTTACAGAGGCGAATCTAGAATTTCAAGAAGACGGGTGCACCATTGTCAGAGGCGAATCTAGAATTTCAAGAAGACGGGTGCACCATTGTCAGGGGCGGCTCTGTCCCTTTAAGAAAAAAGGCAACTAATTTAGGCTTTTAAATTTGAGGGGCCTTATTTATTTTAGCAATAATAAATATAGGTTTTTCATAAGAAAAATAAGAAAAATATTAAATACATTTGCAAAATAAATAGATTTTATTATAAGAAAAAGTCATTAGAAGAAGTTTTAAAAAGGCTGAATGCAGAAACTCTTTTGTGAATAAAATAAAATGCAAGGTTGTGAAAATGTAGCATCTGGAAATCGATCCCTCAACCCCAAAGTGGAAAACTGACAGTCAAATCAGTGAACCATCCAGTTGTTTGTGTTCATGGGTTCCTTCAGTTGCTATTTGATATATTTTAATAATTTTACAAGTAATACATCGAGTTTTGTCGAATGATCACGGGTTCAAATAACCCATTTTTTAAGCTTAAATTCGCCCCTGGGTACCTATCGTGATTGATAAACAAACACTCTGTTGATATTTATTTTATATTTGTTAAAGTAAAAATCTTTGCTTTGATATTTTTTTTAATGGAAGCTATTTATTTAAAGCTTCAAGTATAATTATTTTAAAGCACGAGTGATTTATATATATTAAACTTCTTTTCATGCAATCAATTAAGAGGAAAAAAGAACTTTAACTCTTAACTCATAATTAATAATATAATAATTATATTAGTTTAAATAAGGAAATATTAATATATTGATAAAATTGTAAATTAATTTTAAAGTCCTAAATTTTAAATATGTAATTCAAACAAGGTAAAGTTGATTTAATAACCAAATTTTAATAGATTTTCAATTTCTAAATATTAGAAAAATACTTAAATAACTATTTTGTCTGGTGTGAAATCTATTTTAAAAGGAAAAAATATTTCACTAATATAGAGTAATATTTTGCACCATGTGGGATTTCTTTGCTTATAATTAAATAAATGCAAATGTAATTGTTGTTGAGAAGAAAAAAAAAAACGGAAGTACTATATGAATATTGGCTAAAAATTTTAAAAGTTAAATTGTTTTCAATTATGGAAAACTGACACTTAGTTTTAAACGAAATAAAAAGGAAAGTGTGCCGACATACAAAGAAATTTTTGGTAACTATATGAGCATGACAAATGTTACCAATTTAGTCGAATATTAAATAATCAATTCTTGCTTATATAAATATAATATAGTTACTTCTAATTGGTTTGAAAAAAAAAAACAAAGCAAAAATTACTAAATCTAATGGCCCTTAGAAGCGTATGGCAAGAAGAATTGCTCATAGAAATCATGGTGATGATAGTGAAAAATGTAAACATTGGTGACTACGTGCGCATGACTGCCGTTTGCAAGTCATGGAGATCCATGCTTGCTCATCAACATGTCACGCCAGTAGATGTTGAAGTTCCTTGACTTTTACAGCTTAAAGATTGTGCCTATAACCATGCATCATACATGATTCAACCTCTATAGCTTGTCCGCAAATCGTTTCTACACTTTTAAATTTTCTAGTTATATGTTGAATAAATACCCAAAGGTAGCTCACGGTGCTACCTTCTGTTGTGCAACTTCTAATGGCTGGTTGGTTCTTGTTGCTGGACCCAAACCATAATCCTGACATGTTCCTTTTTGATCCTATTCAGAAATCAACGTCAAACTTCCTCCATTGAACACAATACCATACTTTCCATATTTTGAGAAACATAGAATCGCGTAATATTGTTCATGTATTTTCAATATCGGATGATTCTATCAGAGATCTCATAGTCATTGCTAATTTTGTAATTGGCCGAGATGTATATAGTGATGATAATGTTTTGGGATTCTGTAATTGTGAAGAAGAAGAAGAAGTTAGGTCCAAGTTGGCATTGATTTTTCTCCGATTCATTGTCTTAGAAAAACTTATTTATATTATTGCGTTTTCTTGTTCTTTTAAGTTAAGTCCAATTAAGCTTTGATTTTTCTCGCTATATATATTAGTGTGTTTTCTTGTTCTTTTTCTGTATTTATAATAATATTGTCATCAAAATATGTGCATGATTGACTCTACTTGTTAATTAAGTTTGTTTTCAAGATACTAATAAATATAGACTATAGAAGGTAACTAAAAGGCCATGTCACCAGTAGAATATTTAACTTTTAACAAATAGAAATTGAAATCAAACTCAATATTTTACATTTAA